AGGCTGAACAACCCCAACTCTCTCGGCCTTTCTTCACAGGAGAGGTGTTCCATCCCCCTCATCATTTTTGTGACCCTCCTCTGGACCCGCTCCAACAGGTCCGTGTCTTTCTTATGCTGAGGGCTCCAGAGCTGGACGCAGTGCTCCAGGGGGGGTCTCACCAGAGCAGAGTAAAGGGGCAGAATTATTTGTGGCATGGCTGTCTGGACCGAGTCTAGGCTGAAGTAAAAACCTAAAAATATGTATAATGTAGATACAAAAGCATCAGCACCAATTGCTTTGATCCACTCCTACCGCATGAAATTACTTGCTAGTGTAGATACAGGCACATAGGAATCCAGGCAAAATATCAAGCAGACATACAGTCAATTAGAAAAAAGAAAACCATGCAGGCCTGGGCAAGAGGTCTTCAGCAAGGAAAAAGAGTTGTTTCTTGTATGTAGGCAGTGCAACAGACCCAGTCCTGTCACAGATACACAGAAACCGTTCCAACCGACTGTGCAGAAGTAGGGAACTGCCAGTTCAAAGCATCGCTAGTCTGAGATATAATTGCATAATGAATCAAACAAAACCCAAAATGCCAAGCAACAACGCCCACAGAAATCTCTCGTGCTTTGGACCAGGTATTAGGCGCTACCTGCCCTGTGTTAAAAATCTGAATAACACCACTACCCTGCGACCCGGCCGCTCAGTGCCTTCGTGTTACTACAGATGAGGAGTTTTGTACCTGAGGGGTCAGGGATGACAGGCGTAGTTATTTGACAGATGTTGACTGCCTGGTAGAGCAGAGGCCCTCAGGCAAACAAGTCCCTTTCTCCCTGTACAGGAGGCTGCCTCTCTCTCTAACATCCAGCAATAATGCAGCAACTTCTCAGTTGTCCTGAGAGTGAGGGCATGGCAGGAGATACCCACAATGATATCGTCTCAGTATATTCTTAATCAAGTTAATTACTTGGGAGCAATAGAATTTTGGGGGTGATCTCTTGCTCTAACAGAAGACAGGGTGCCTCAGCCATAACTATAAATAAGTCTGAAAGCGAGAACTTCTCTAGAGGGATCCTGCAGAGGGTTGCCAGTACACATTACACGGTTTTAATCACAAAGGTGCAAACGCAAACCATCCAGTAAATATAACAAAACTGCAGTTTTGCTTTAATTGTTGTTCCGGCACTGCAGTGGTAGAATTAATTCTTTCTTATCATCCAAAAAGAGGGGGGTTTGGATTATTAATTTAAATTACTTTTCTGCCTGCATATCAAAAGTCCCACAGTAGGTCTCACAACGTCCAGTTTGGTTCTGAAAAGTTACCGTAAATATAGGGATTTTTTTGTTTGTGTGTGTGTGCACTTGTGGGAGTCTGTGTATATGTATGTGTGTCATATAAATGTGAGTGTGTGTGTGACATATGTCAACTGTGCAGAATTATAAAGCATTTTTCCCTTAACCCTGTATTTTCTAAACTCAGTCTGGGCTCCATATTCAGTCTGGTTTCTGACTACCTGCTGCACACCTGCCTCGAAAAAGAATACTGCCTCCTTCCCCAAGCTAAGCAGCACAGATCCTAAGCAGCACAGCAGGCTGAGTCATGAGGGGTTCTCAACCCACAATACTTCCCTACTTCTACTTCTAGACCTCTTTTGGATCTACAATGCTAAGAGAGTGGAAAACCCTGGCAAGAAACTTACTCACCCATTAGTACGACAGGGATTTAGCGCCAATATGTATTTCCAAGAAATGCTGTCATTCTGCACTAACATATACCGCATATTTCAACCGCTGATTGACTGAAGTGCATTAAGCACTAGGCCTATGCAGTGCGCAGTTCTTTTTGTACATGTAAAAATCATTTTGTACAAGTTAAACCTCTTCTATGCATATTTCAGTAGAAGGCTTACTTTGTTTTGTGTTTGCTTATAGCAGTCCTAAGCGGATCCTTTTTTGAGAGCATCTCAGACCAGATGTTCAGCTGGACTTCATGTATAAATTACAAGCTTGTCCAGTCTCTTGCATCTGTATAATTTTGCAGCTTGGCTGACTGTAATGAGCAGCACTGCCTGAAGATTGGCGGCACCAGTTCGTTTGCCTATATGACAATATCAATGTGTCTTCCTTATCACCCTACCAGCAACAGTCCCGAGAGCAGACCGGATGCCGAAATCCTAGGAGAGACAAAAACAGCTGAAGAATTTCCAAACCACCTCAGCAGCAGTGAAGAAAGCACTGGCAGCTGGTCCCAGCTGGCTAACGATGAGGACAATCCTGATGACACAAGCAGCTACTTACAGCTCAGCGAGCGATCCCTGAGGTACCCGTGTTGTCTGTTCTCAGTATACAATACGGTCTAATCAACCAAGCCAATGATTTGACTGCCGCGCATCGGGAATGAGGGTCAACAGCTCGAGGTTTATTCAGAATACTGTAAAGAAAGCCTAATGGCAGAGTTCATCTCTCTATTTTTAAAAAAGGAAAAAAAAATTAGCCACGCACTGGTTCTCAGCCAGGTCTTTTCATTATTGGTGAGCAGCTAGATTCAGGCAAAGAAAAAACTTCCTGGCACCGCTCAAGTGCCTCAGTCCTGCAGTGAAAGGGCCATCAGACAAGCTAATTGCTACGGTCTTTCCTCTGATTTATTTGCTACTATTTGCATAACGTTTATTTTGGCATCTCCTTAGCTGAGATTGACGAGGCTGCTATTCCCGCCAGGTATCTGTGCACTGAGAGCAGAGAGAGAGCCCCGATCTGCTTCGACTGACACGGGGAGCAGATCAACAGAGGATGACCGAGTTCCCCCTGAGTAGGCATGAATTCCAGAGCTCCCAGTGCAATGTGCTGCTTTTTGTTCCTATTCAAGTCAGGACATGTTTAAAGACGTAATCTAGTCCTTAGAGTTTATATAAAGTGATGTTAGTTTGACTTCAGCCCTTTCACGCATTCAAATTGAGCAAGGTTTCTTCTTCACGTGCTCTTAGATTAGGTTTTAAAATATTGTCAGGTAATTACATCTTGCTCTTGGGTATTAAGACAACAAGGAGGGAAGACGTTATGGTAATGAAGCAGGGATGAGAAAGACGCTCTGTCAGAGAGCACTGTCGGCTAGCTGAAAAAATACTGAACAAAACTTGTCTGTCAGTGTGGGTGAACATTCATCCCATTATTATCAACCTTCAACAAAGTCCTCGGTCTGAGAGAGCTAATGTATTGTGCCTTTTGGCTCTGCACTGAAACAGAAATTGCTACAGCAAGTCTGAATGCGTGGCGTGCTGACACTGACTCAGAAAAACCTGATGGGGAAAGGAACTCTCTGGTCAATCCTTCTAACCTAAGGAAAAATACTAATAGTTGCTTTTCCAGTAAAAATTAAGTGGTTCAAGTTGACTCGCCACACAGAACTTGTTTGTGCTAATTGACTTGCAGCCAGCAAAGTCACAGCCTGTTCATCAGACTAGTACGATGTCTACATAAACATCGACTGTCAAATTTACAATGATGTTATAAAGTGAGCTGGTACCATTTTTTCCAAATATTCTCAGATGTAATACTTCATTCTTGTGAAGAAGCCAAAGAGAATAGTTCTACATATTACTGGTCCCAACGAGCACTGGCTTTAATTAAAATCTCAGTCTTTCAGAGTAGTCAGAAACATAAGGGGCCGTCACTGTACCTGTGGCTTCCATCAGATCCCCGGGAGTATTTGGGGTATGATGTAATACGTTTAAACTGCTGCTGGTTACAGGCATGGAGTCACCCAGCAGGTAAGTGGTGTGATGGGCAACCAAATGCCTTGCTATAACTCACAACGTTCAGAGGTATCTGAATCCCTGCAGGTTTATTCCAGGACATCTCCGTACCCGATAATCCTTCTTTTCAAGGACTCATGCAGACCGGTTTCTTGTTTGAGGCCAAACGTTCATTGCATAAGCCATTCACAAGCAGATAGTCCACTTTTTTTTTTCCTCCTAGTTTACAGCATCACTTGATACATGCTCCATCTAGAACCATTTTAATAAAAGCCTCATTATTTTGAGCAGATTTGTGTGCTTCATTCTGGGAACCACTTACTGAGCACAACTGATTTTGTGGAACTCTGCATAACGGGGGGCAGCCTCCTCGCTTTGCTTTGTACATAAATAAATTTAAAAAAAGATGTATGGAGACATGTTCGGTGCAGCTTGGCGCTAATATTTAAACTTTTGCTTTGTCAGCAATGGCAACAGCAGTACAACTAGCAGTCTTGGCATTATGGACCTGGAAATTTATCAGGAGAACGTGCCCTCTTCTCCTATGATTAAGTAAGTAGTCACTGAAGTGAGACTTGGTGTTTAGTCTAATTTTAACTGCAAATCGTTTACGCCATCTAAGATGTGCCAAGCCCTGCTTTGCACCTGCTGCTGAGCCTGCCGTTAGCTTCAGAAAAAAAGCCCGTGCCGTTGTCGGTGCGGAGTGACAGCACTAGGCAGTGAAAGATCACAGGAAAGCCTGCCCAGGTGGGTCTCTCAAGAGAATACGGATCCACCAACCGCTCTGCCTCAAAGAGTTTTCTGCAGTATCGGTTTCCCATTGTGTGAACTTTCTTCTCTGAATAACTTCAAATATTATCAAAACTTTACAGTAATAGCAAGTAAGGTCAGGCAGATAAGGATCAATTAAAGTCAAAGGAAAAAAATATGATAGCATTCTTTCCAAGAATAATAATAATTTGGCCCAAAGTACATCTTACCTATTCTTTCTGGGCATGTTTCTACTGAGCATGCAATAAAACTATCAAGATTTTTTGCCTAAAGATTCTGGTACCCTGAAACCTGGCATAACCTGCCAGCCGGTGAATGCCACGATGCAGTCAGGGCGCGGCCACTGCAGAAGCGTAGGGACTGTACATCACGCATTGAACACGGGAACGCTGTGAAGTCGCTGACATCAGAAAATCTTCACAGCTCGTTACCAGACTATACTACAACTGTCCTGCTTTCAAGAGGCTCCTTTTTTGTAAGAAATCTGGGCATTCATCTTTCTGTAGACTTACACGCATTCTCTCTCAGCTGCCGATTCGGAACCTAACCTTGTTAAAACATTTCCGTCTTCACAGTAGGCAGTGATACCTCCTACACGCATCCCTAAAGACGACCCCTCTCCCTTAGATTTCCGAGGCCCAAAGGGATAAATTTCTGACTCCCCTCGTTAGCTTGCAGGGGCCGTTCTCAGGTGTTGGCCAATGGGCGTGAGAAGTTTGTAGTTCCACAAGTCAAAGTCAAGGCACAGAATACATCTGCTGTTCAAACAGAAAACTGGGAAGAAATCTGATGGGAAGGAAGTTATTAAGCACCTGTGATTCTAAGTCATGACAAACCATACGTTGCATGCTGCCATTTTATTCTTTCCTCTCACATCTTGCAGTAACCACTGCACGAGTAGATATAATCTTGATTCTTTGAAGCCTTGGGGGAGATTCTGAAATCCTGTGAATGAGGGTGGTAAGAGTAGCGTCCTCCCATGCTAGAAACAAAATCTTACACTTGCAGCGCTCCCCCTGATTGAGGGCAGAACGGGACAGTCTGGAAGCGCGTACTGTAAGTGCTGTCCCTCCAGGGGCGATGAAACGAGTGCAATAGCTGCGACATCAAGAGCGAATTTGCAGTTCCTGCCACGTGTACACGAGCGTGGATATTGTGTTCAGAAATGGAAGCCGAAGCAGTGACCACGTGCCAGGAGTTTGTTTCCTGTAGTTTAACAAGAAAGAGATGGTACACAAGAAATTAAGATCTTTGGAAATTTTTGCAAGGTGTAAACGGAATTTGTTTATCCAAACAGCTAATATATTTAAAACCAGCAGCAGTTGAAGTCATTGATAGTTACGTTTGTATTTAACTACGACAGATTAAACTAGAAAGCAAGACTGGAAAAGATTCGGCCAGGGAGTACAGCACTGCAAAATGCAGACTTTGGAAGTTCAGTATTTCCCCCCAGGTTATGAGACTTGCTGTGTCTTACCATCATGTCCTTTGCTCGTCATTACGTAAACTGTAAAGATACACAGATCCTGGTGAAACGTAACACACAGTGCAACCAGTACAAGTGCTTCATCCTATTAAGGGAATAATGCTGCAATTCCCATAGCTTTTCCCGATTTACACGTGAAATAATTGAAATATATTCCGCATTTTATTATTTCATCCCGTGTAACTTCTTTCTTGCAGTTTTCTAGGTCTTACGTTGAGGGAGAAGTTTATCCATCGTGAAGCCATGTTGTAGACTGTTCCTAAGTATCACTAATAAGCTTTGTTGTTGTTTGTTTCTAAGTGAATTAGTAGAAGAAAAGGTTTTCCTTAAAGAACAGACAGAAAATACAGAGGGTAAGTTGAACCATATCAATTCAAGCATACAATTTGAAGTTAACCCAAGTAATTGCGCAGTAACTGTTGGGATTATTTTTCCAGAAAGTACTTCTGGGCTTTCAGTGGGAACAGCCAATTGTCAAAAGGACCTACTGGTGATAAACTTTGATCTGGAACCAGAGTGCCCCGATGCGGAGCTGCGAGCCACCCTGCAGTGGATAGCCGCTTCTGAACTTGGAATTCCAACCATCTATTTTAAGAAATCTCAGGAAAACAGAATTGAAAAGGTAGTATTTACAGAATTGGGCATACTATTAATTAACGGTAATCGCAGTACCAGTTACGATTCATTGAAGTTGCTGAGCTTAAAAGCTGATGCAAACGCATCTTCATTACAACAAGATGGCAATGCTACTGTTCATTACAGAAAGGGAGGGGAGGATTAAGTGTGTCAGAATTTAAGGTATGTGAAAGAAGACGTTTAGTAGTATGGCCATGGCACAAAAAAATAGTATCACCGCGAGACCTTCTCCAAAGCCTCTGCAACATGCTTCGATGAGTCTGTTCGCTTTTTCATATCAATGATGCATTAAGTATCAATGCCTAAGGCAGAATTAACAGAAAGAGCCCTCTATGTGGCTGCATTTGAAGGGTTGCAGGTGGCTTACACGGAGTTTAAACATGTGGCTTAAAAAATAAAAATAAAAATCACTCGAGTGCAGACATCGCACGTACAAAGTTCTGCCACTCAGTGACAGTAAGAGCTGACTATGACACGAGATGTAAGTTGTGCTTAAGATTTGCAGCTCTGAAATTCCTCAGTCCTTACGCAGGTTCTGCCTCGCCTGCAACGCTGATTGACAGACAGCCCCGGGCAGGTCTGAACTTGCTCACGGCTGTTCATAAATTGCTACAGCTGGGGATTCAGCAGGGTACCACAGGGGCCTGACAGTTCCTCCTACATTTATGCGAGATCTACCATGGCCAGATGCGCTGGCTTTATAGTCACTTTGTGCTGGCAGAAAAAGATTGCTGCTCACCAGGGAACGGGCTCACAGCTCAGATGTACAGAAGAGACTAACTGCAAAATAAAGATAACCTATATTAGCTCACGTTTGGTGTCTCGCGTACCAAGACTCCGAGGCTTCTGCACCAGAGCTGATTGAAAGTTCGGAGGATAGGCGGGATGGACCTCTCTGTGTAGGCGTATCCTTATATTATTACTACCCTGAGAGGCAGTTTTAGCCCAGGCAGTGACCAACCAGTGTGTCCAGCGGAGCCATATTTGCAATCACACATCTGTTACTTGGAAAATTGGACTGAAGTGTTTTGCGTCATTGTGGGGAAATTATGAAGCACCTCCCCTGGCTTAGCAAGCAAAAAGTGCTACGTGTGCCAGTACTCTCTTGCTCCTGCTCAGGTGTGGCTTAGCCTCTGCCAACCACCATTTTGAAAGCTGAAGTCCGTTTCCAGAGGGAGGCGGACAGACAGAGACTGACGGAACTGAGAAACCTCCTGAGGTGTTACTAGTCCAAGCCAGAGCCCCCAGAGCAACACTGAAGTCCAAAACGGCCACAGGCAGCGCAGACCGTTTCTATTCCTGGATGATGAGGTCGCGCTCCGTTGTAGACACCACCGAGTGCCACCTACAACATTTCAGGAATAACCAGAACCGCCCCTTTTCCAAGGTCAGCAAGAACGGCTCAAACCTTAAGGCTTACAAGAAGCGTCGCGGTATTCCAATCAATTAATGAAAAAAGTGTTACAAATCAGTATTTTGGTCTTTTAAAATAACGTCTATGGGAAGATCATTCTGAGAAGCAGAGACATTGTTTGATTTTCTTGAGTACATGCATTTGGGAATCATAAACATAATTTAAAATGCATTCAGCAGCAACAGTCCAAATTGCGTCTAATTAAAGAAACAGCTGTCAGCTTTACCCATGTGCTTTGGCAAACAGTTAATTCAATTGCAAAAATACACTAGAGAATAATGAAGCACATCCTGCCTACAACAGTGCTCTTGGAAATCGCGAGCCTATTAAATATCATTAAAATACATATTAAAAGTTTAGGCTTCAGTATGTAAATAGCAAACAGCTACACTAACTAGACACACACAATATTTTCTTGTGTGGTTTAAAACTGGAAACGTAGAAGGAGCAAGCTAATTAGATATTGATTGTGAAATTCAAAGACATGAAAAGCTTTGATTTTCATTTATGTGCTTCAGAAAAAAACGGGACCAGATGTATGACACTGCGGAGCCCATTATTCAGTACAAAGTGGACAAAATTCAGGATTTTTTACAGCTGCTTAAGAACATATATTTAACCTCTGGTTTATCTGGAAGTTAAAAAAAAGTCAAATATAGATCCTCCCTGTGACTCAACCACAATTGTGGCAAATGCCTTCGTGTAACAGAACTTTACCCAGAATTCCCTCCCACCAGTACTGTGTGGCTATTTAAAATACTGTGGGATCTATACGCGGAAAGACAGAAAATGAAATATAAATTAAAATATAGCTAATGGTAACGCAGAGGGATTTTTTCTTTTTTCTTTAGAATGGATAGTCACACTTCCATTACTTTGACAGCGAGTCATCAATAACAAAGAAGGTTGTGGTCCTTCGTCAAGGTCACTTTCACTGTTCTTACTTTCCTCGCGATAAATAGGAAATAATTGACGAGGGCAGCTAATTTAGAAAATGTCGCGAGATCCGACCGGTCTTTGGGCAGCTACGGAACTTCAGAAAAGAAGTTTTATAAATGGAAAGAACCTTTATGTCGCTGCGCGGTGAACCGTGTCCACTCCCTCCGACAGCAGCGCGTTTACAGAGGCTGGTCTTACAGCGGTTTGCGTGTATTCATTTAACAAAACCGTAGCAAAACGTTAACCAAATCCTAAGCGCGTTTTGTTTTGTTTTTTTATTTAGTTTTTAGATGTTGTGCAATTAGTTCAACGGAAGTCCTGGAAAGTGGGGGATATCTTCCATGCCGTGGTGCAGTACTGCAAGCTCAGCGAGGAAGGCAGAGAGATGACGCCAAGCCTGTTCGACTGGCTTCTCGAATTGGGTTAGGAAAGTTCGCCTCTGCAGCGTTTCTGTTTTATTCCAGTTTAAATAAGCAGTGGTTTGTGTAACGCTCCGATTTCTGAGCATCACTGAATAAAGTGAGCAAAGATATACAAACTCTACAGAAACAGCACGCGCCCCTTCCACAACCGAACAAGGAGCAAAGTGAAACCAAGGTGTATTCTATCTTTCCGTGTCGCGAGGGACTCTTGACGTATTGTGCTACAGGAGGTGCTGTACTGGGAGGGGATGGATTTTTAGCCTTCTGAATTAATGGACTACACGGTAAAGGCTTAATTAAGTATCCAATACGTTCCATTTTCATCAGTTTGATTAAATCAATCAGCTAAAATGGGATAGTACCCTAACTTTCCATTTTAAAACACCAATACCCCTGCTAAGGGGTAGAAACTTTGGAACACTTAGGAACTTTGCAGTTAGACAACACAATAAAAAGCTGCTGAAAACACATTTTACTTTCTTTCCACGCGATTATTTCTCTTCCGTGGCTGTTCCCCATCCCTGTCTTCTTCTCAAGGAAATAAAATCTAGACTCTCAGTTATCGCCCTTAAGAAAACTCATTCCTTTCCACCCGGAGGCAGTGCAGTTCAGCATCGCTACACCTGGTATATCCCCGGACACAGCTCTGTGAGCCAGGGCAGCAGGTTTCTAAGCCCCGTCCCACCACAGACCTGCCGCCTGGCCTCGGGCGAGTCATTTCACCTCTGTGCCTCAGGGTCCCTACCCGCGAAGGGGGAGTCGTGATAGTACATTTGTTACCTACCGTGCTCCTGTTTGAAGCACGATGTAACATGCTACGTATCAGTTAAAAGCGGTGAAAAAAAAAAATACTATTTTAATTTTAGTTTAATCAAATAAATTGTTAATAAGGTGAAGAAACGCATATCTGAAGAGAGTACCATCTCATCATTAAAATCTTAAATGTTAATTTTTGTAACCTACAAGAACGCAAAATGATTATTAAAATTTCAGCAGACATACTTATTCATTTTGGATACGAGTGTTTGGACTACATGTGGTCGTTCACATTACTATGACGTTTCTATAACTGTTTGATAAGATATACCATGGTATCGCCTTGTTGAGATGATCTGTTCGTGTCATGCACTTAATGATACGTTCTCTCGACTCTGCCAAAGAGATTGGTTTTGAATTTAAAAGGTAAATTCAACTTATCACAGCTCTTCTGCGATTTTTTTCTTTGAAAGTAGTTATCTTCCATCTCTCCCTACCCAAATTGCGTAATAGAAAACCTGCCTGCTTTTCCCAATAAAATATTTGAGATGTTTTATTTTCCATATAACAGTATATGCTTCTGTAATATTTCTTGGGAAAAAAAAACAAACTATCCTTTTGCACTAAATATTTTTGAAAATTTTGAAGTAGTTTTAAATAACTTACGAAAAAGAGCCATATTCTCAATTTTATCTTTAAAACCATTCCTAAACTTGCATGATTGCCTCGCTCATTTGTTACGAAATACAAATTGTTAGCGAATCAAAACCTAACGTGGAACATTAAACGAGATGAGTAATCCTACATCTACTCTGCAGCAGACACAAAACAGCGAAGGTCGCTTTACTGTCAAGATAAAGGTCAATTGATTGCGTGCGCTGGGCGTAACCGTGCAGTCACTGAGCCTGCTCCTAGGAGCTGCTGAACACCCGTAACTCCCACCAACGTGAGCGGCAACTCCGAACGCTCAGCATTTCTGAGGCTGGAAGTTAGTAAGTACCACCAAGTATTATAGACTTAAAGCGCTTTGTTCGAGTTAATAAATGGGAAAGTGTATTTATTTTTAAACCAAATACAGTTAGTTGTCAGTATACAATTTTTTGCTGTGATAGAATAAATGTTTACTTATCCTACAAAGCACAAATATCATGACAGAGTTGTAACAGTGTGATGCAGTTTCTCTGTACAGTAGTTCTTCATGTTGCAATTTATTCGGAAATAAATTTGTGTTACAACGTGTGTGCTCTTTGCCTTCCTAAAAAGTTCACGAACGTGCTGTGGGTTTTTTGACCTATTAAATCGTGTTTGCCTGCCACCCCTGTACCTTCCCAAAGCTCTGCTTCCGAATGAAAAAATCTGACCCATGGCCCTAACCTGGAGCAAGCTCCAGGTCTTACCTCAGTACCCAAGCTATGGCTTTACTCAGGTTCCACAATTCATTCAAGTGATAGAAGGCTAATCGTAACGTTCTTAGTACCACAGCGAAATAAAGAGAAATTACATGTTCGTTGCCGAGAATTAACCCCCGAGTAACTCCCAACATACCAAGTCTCTCACTCCAGCTGCTTTCAGTACCTGCAGAAGCGGGCAGGGGGGTGCGGAGACAGAAGTTCAGGAGTTTCTTCTGCCTGTTTAAGTTTGCACAGCTATTTACTGCCCCCCTGCCTGAGGAGAAATAAAGGTATTTCTACTGCTAAACAGAAAAGGAAACCAACACTTAGCTGAGTGAATCAGAACAGGACTTGTCCACCATTAAAAAAAGGCTGAAAAAAATTAAAGTCAACTTTAATTACACGTAAATGAGAACTCCATACCACATACAATTTTAGGTAAAAAAAAATCTCAGGGTAAACTACGTGCCGTTCAGCCTCTCTGTATACATGAGCGCGATGCAGGTGGTTAATATCCTGAGGGTGTGGGGAGGGTGGCAGCTCACTGTCTTTCCCAATACAAAAGCTAGGACCCAACAAACGAAACTCGTAGGAGCCAGACTCAAAGCAAACAAAAAGAGAGGATGCAAAACTTGCACACAGGTTCAAGTGGGAGCTGGATAAGTACTTGAAAGAGATGCACCACAGTTTACTAAATAAGACCAACCCCACGAGCCGCAGGAGAGGCCCCGGCCGTCAGAGGCCACCCACGGGAGCAGCAGACGTTTGCCTCAGCACCTGCTGCAGCGCTGGTCCCAGCCAGGGCTGCCCCGCGCACCTTCTTCCTCTGCGTCAGGGAAAGGTGCCTTCACCCTGGGCTGGACTCCACCACCCGCCTCATGGAGAGCGGAATTTGGCCTGTAGAGACGTTAATTCAAACACAGGAGAATCACCTATTGGAAAACAAGTGCTTAAAACCTTCATTTTTAGCTTGGTTTTGTTGAGGGTGCTTTTAATGTTGGGATCATTAGAAGTTGAAAAACTATAATCTTCCTCCATTTTGTCAGAACACAAGATTTTCATAGTCTCTTCAAGTAAATTAACCATTTTATTGTGGTCTATGATAAAAAATGGTCACCTGCTTACAGTTATCCTATTAAATTCAGCAGGTAACTTTTCTGGAGAGGCCAATTTTACTGTTTCTCTCATCCAGTTTCATGCAGAGCTGCGTGACAGACGAGCATAGGAACGTCACCATGAATCCTGCACTCTGACTTTCAGAATGTCAAGGAAAAAAAACCCCACCACTCCATTGAAATAAAGAGCCCACGTGAGCTACTTAATAAATAACACAGATTCCAGCTGAGAAGGAAAGCACATCCATACTAGCCAATTTAAGAACTTCAATTCAAGCCAGAGCCATTCCTAAGCCGTTGCTAAGTACGAGCGGACTCGTAACACCACTACTTCAATTTTTCAAACCCACCCTAAAGGCAGTCACCACGAGGAACAGGCCCTCAGAAAGCAACTTGCAGCTGTACAGCATTTAGCAGGACAGACAGTTAAATTAGACAGCTGGACCATCAAGCTAATTAAAACAATTTGCAGTGAAGACAGGTCTGGCTGATGGATACTGTGCCCTCCTCCCAGCTTCAGCTGAAAAGTAGACAGTAAAGTGCAGCAAACTGGAAACTATAACCAAGCAGGATATATTTCATATCCTTTCATTAACTACCCGGGAAATGCAAGTGATCACACGGAAGGAGCCGAAAAAGAAATTCTCACCAAATGCCACTTTTAAAACATGAGTGGGTGTGAGTTATTATCCTCACCTATTCAGAAAATAATTTGAATCTCGAGAGACACACAAAGAGTCCAAGTACCCATCGTATGCTTAGATGGAAATCCTCGTCCTTGTCTTGTAAAATGCATGTTCTGTCCCGGGGAAGTTACACAGTACAAGCTAAGGGCTTCCTTCCCAGAAAAACAAACTTGTACGTTCACAGAGGTATATACTGGAAGGATTCAGAGGTCTAAAGGACAGAAACAATACAGCAAATCCGATTTCCACTGTGAGAGTACTTACTAAAGCACGCTTCAGGAGTCTCCCGAGGTAATCCTTTTCAATAAGGTCACAGTGAATCGAGTTTGCCAGCATTTCAGGGTAACGTTGAAAGCCACATCCCACTCCGACCACCCAGTGCTTACAGTGGCAGCTTGGGGAGTGGAAGGTACGTAGGAGCCAAATGTTTTGATAAGATTAAAAAGGCACCGGACAATGGAGTTAGAGCGCACGCGTGCTATCCTGGTTGCAGGGACTGCAGCGGAATTGGAGAAAGGGATCAAGCTGCTGCCAGAGACACAGAATGGTTTCAGGATGATACATCTATACAATGCCCTCCTAACGTATATCTCCATAATTTCTTAAATCTACATATGGGTAAACCAAGGTGCAGAGAGCCTAACATCAAAGCATTTGCATGATGGTACCTAGAGCACTACTGAAGTTCTTACGAGGTGCCAAGTTAGCACACTTTTCAGCAGTGCTGTGAATCACACCAGGTGCGAAAGTATTTCACATTTGAGCAGGAAACCTGGATAACGTAGCCTGAAAAGCAACGCTACGCACTCAGTGGATCTAGGGAGAGTCAGAAAACACCAGGTGCGAAAGTATTTCACATTTGAGCAGGAAACCTGGATAACGTAGCCTGAAAAGCAGATCAGTGGATCTAGGGAAAGTCAGAAATAGAGCCCAGATGGTCTCCCAGTCCAATGCTTAGTCTATGAAACCTCAGCTCACTCACAGTTTCGCATAAAAATAGGACAAGAGCTCGAAGCCAAAAGCTACTACAGATGTTTGACTCACTGAATCGCTTGCATAGTGTAGGAGAAAAATCATAAAGGAAAAGGCAACAGAAAATAACCCAACGTGAAAGATTGAGGGGAAAAAAACCCATCTACTTCCTAATTACAGTCCAAAGAATTGTTTTACTTTGTGATGGTTACACAGCAAGTCAAATTTCAGTTTTTAACTATGTAGCAGTATTTGTACACACTTCATTACGCTAATTTCCCTCCATTTTTGTCAGCTGGAAATCCCCCATGTCACACCTGTAAGTGCAGGTGCAAACTGATCTGGGGACACAGGGCAAGTCTAAAGTAACACAGAACTGCATTGCCCTTCCTGCCCCTTTCAGTTCCGGATTACCGAAACACTCATGATATCACAAGGCTTTTGCACAAGACAACAGGAAACACCACAAGCATTACCGTAACCTTAACATCAGCCACTTTGCCTACTGGTGAAGGTTTAATTTCAAATGATCTGCATTAGTTCTCCCACAACACAACACTACTTGAAACAACCAGGATATTTGCCAAGTGATGACAGGCACTTTTGTTTCTTCACTTACACACAAGGATGCTGGCAAGCACGCGGAGATAGTCAGAACACATCAGCATTAGCAACTTCCTATTAAAGTTAACAACATATTGAAGTCAAGCCCATAACCACCCAGAGATACACAATAAAAACAAAATACCTTCAAGTTCATCCTCTGCTGCGCACTTCCTTTCTTCCTTTTGTCTCCGGTCACCACACATACTTTGTTCGATCCTACCCTCTATTGCCTCTTCATCCTTCTTCCAAGGCTGCTGGAAGAGACCAGTCGGTTCTGCTCCTTCCCTACTCCCCTGCAAAGAGCAACTGCAGTTTCAGGTGCCCTGCTAGGAGGTGGGGCGAGCTCTGCACAGGCGAAGCCTGTTGGTGATTGCTGGCAAGAGGTAAACCTGGGTTAGAGTTCATTGTACGGTGGTAAATGACTTGCAGGAGTTCCTCATCCACTTCTCAGTTTATGTCATGATCCTCGGCCCCAAATCTTCGGTGTGCAGAGTTTCTTCATGCTGGCCATAATCTTTGGGCCAGGACTCAGAGCTGGAGTCACCACCCACATTATTATTTTTACCTCAGATGAAAACAAAAGAATGAGAGCTGAGCAGAAAGGAGTGGGATGAATGGAAAGATGTGGGCAAGCATGAAAGGGGGTGACTGGGAGTTTAACTACAGCATGCATGCAGTAGTTAATAGCAATGCAGTTCACAAATGGTTGCTGGTTTTCCCCAGAAATATCAAGTGGGGCACCGCATTACAAGTAGCGAAACTGGCATTTTAACTCAATACTTTATTACACAACAAAAAAAATTAATACAAAAGTACTCAAAGCAGGTGCATAACAACACCCCTTTCACACTTGAGAGTATCATAATGCTATTTTTTATTAAAAGGGTTACAAGGAAAAAATGACATGCAAAGAAATGGGGCCATGCTACTGGATTCATTCACACTAAACACGATTTCTCTCAGGTGACTGAGGTAACAGAGCCAGACTCTTCTCAGCAGTATCCAGTGAAGAGCCAACATACACAAATTGAAATACAAGAAAACATTCCATTTAAAAATAAGAAAAAAAACAAACTTTTTTTCACTGTGAGAGTGATCGAACACTGAGCAGGTTGCCCAGAGAAACTGTGGAGTCTCCATCCTTGGAGATATTCAAAACCGGCTGGACGTGGTCCTGGGCAGCCTGCTTAGTCGACACTGCTTTGAGCAGGGGTGTTGTACTAGGCGATCTCGAGAGGTCCTTTCCAACTTCTCCTATCTTGTGATTCTATGATTCCATATCTACCAGACATCAGCAAAGTCAAACCTATCAAAATCTAGGTAACTTCGCTACTTCAGCAAAGCTGAAGCTGAACAAAGAGGGTAAAAGGAAACAGATCTGAAAGATTGAGTTTATTGACTATGAAACTCATGAAGTAGGCATATACCAAACTGGGTCTTTCCTTGTCTTCAGTCACTGCCATATTCTACAGGTGTTATCCTTGCTCCCTAGTAATAAAAACACATCGTGAGGCAATCATTTAGCTGTATTGCACAACTTACCCATTTTTGTTAGCACCTACATCAAAAATCTACCTGGAATGCCGAGGAGCCAGAGAAATATTTTTCTGTCCGTGACTAGGAAGAGACAGCAGGACCTACAGCAATATTTTTAGCTGAGATCATCCTGCATCCCACATTTTGGCAGTTCACTCAAAAGATCGAAACGATCACAAATACTCTGTTCACGTTTCCCACTCCCGTGATTTTTTGCCTGACGTGCGTTTCCCACTCCCGTGATTTTTTGCCTGATGTGAATGAAATCTAAACAGAATGCAGTGCCAAATACACAAAAGGTGTGTTCCCATCTAAAAAGCTTTGCATTTTGCTCGTCCAGACCTCCCTCACTGCAATACGTTGTGAGAAAATGGCTTAGTCACTGGTCTGGGGCTAGTACATGCCCATAGGACAGATGCTAGGGTGTATGCCCATGCCTTTATATGAATTTGTTCATGGCCGTATTCACTTAAGCCTCAGTTCCAAAGTGAGTTTCTAGCTTTTTTTGATTGTATTTTAAGTCACTGCTGGTACCTGCATTTGGGATATGGCCCCAGGACGCTTTTCGGACTCTAATTTTTTTTTTACCATAACAAGATTTAAAATGTGTCTCAAAAAAAGAAAAAAAAAACTGGAATATATTAGTTACCTGTAATGATTATATCGCCTTTGTAATTGAAAGCGCAGGAGAATATCTCATCAGTGTGACCCTCTAATATCTGAAGGCAGTCTCCAGTAGCAGCATCCCAGAGTCGAGCTGTTTTATCAGAGCTGGCTGTTAGGACACGATTGCCTTTAGGGTTGAAACATATCTTTAAAAAAATATAGGAAAGAGTTGTATTACTTAGCAAGTCAATATGCCTAGAAAAAGAAGCACATCTAGTGATTAAAAAGTGAAAACAGAAACCAGCAACTCTTGCATTCAGTTTTTCAGCTAAAATTCAGGATAGTATTCCACTAGAGTCACCCTGGCAAACTTCTGTGGCTGAAAACTTTGTGTATGTACAAAGGTCTATATACAATGACCTTACTATAGGATCAAGACTTCAGAACATTATCCTCCAAAATCACAATTGCTCTACAACTGTAATGACTTTATTTAAATGTTATCATCATTCCAATGTAAAATTTATACATATTTTAGAGTTCTACATTAAATAACATACGGCTCTATAACATCAAAACTTCCACTGAAGGCAACTCATTTTTTAGTATGTGTTCATATTTGTTAGACATTCATTGCCAAACTTGCATGCGTTTCCAGATTATCAGATCTATTTTTATAGCACTAACCGGACAATACCAGGTTTAGTATATAATGCAAAATTGCTTAATTACTGAGGGCAAAATGCCTGTTCCCCAGAAATCACATTTCCAGGCGATAAACTCCCCCAGCGATCACAGCTACACAGAACATCTGCAGAAATAGACTGGCTTTTCAACATGCTCCCGGATGAGCAGCTTCTCACTTCCAGCAAAGGAATCACGCCAGCACTAAGGACCCTGATGGAAGCTGTCCCTAACCCACCCACATGTCAGCGTGTATTCAGACCGCATGCCTCAGTGCATCTACACTGAGTGTGAAATATTGCACTGAGTATATTAAGTGAGGAAAGATTAGCCCTTCTGAACCTAACATTCTCTCAGCGGAGTAATAGCCAAATCAATACAATGAAAGCACGTGGGTTGTGTTCACCAAGAACCATCCTAGTTTCAAAATATTAATATTTCAATTACAAAATACATCAAACAAAAGCAGCACAGACTTAGCATACTAGCCTGGAAGCTAGTGAAAACTATCCATTTGAAAGAATAATGAAAAGTTGCAAGCATTAAATAACAAAGCTTGAAAAATACGTACAATTTTGGAAGTAACTAAGTGTATTTGGAACTGAACCTCGGCATTTAAAATTGAACCAGACAAGACTTCCAGCAAAGTACATGAGCACATTCCTCATGACCAAGGGATTTTTGAAACAAGCTTTATACTTCCAAGTATATATATACTTCCCTTATGCACTTTTGAAAATAAGACTCTCTATGTATTTTGTCCCAGAAATATGTTTTTTCTGTTCCGTTCCATAAATCAGGTGTGCAGAGAAATGAAGAGTAAAGAGGAGCAGGGCTGGTAGAAGCAAGGAATAAGGGTGATGGTAAAAGCCTCAGAGGCAGTAGCCTTAAGATGTCATCAAGAGACTAAAAAACTTGTGCTTATTCTGTCAGAGAACCTGGGGACTCCAAGGGCGTAATAACACAAGTACAATTTAGGACAGGTCAGACAGAAGCTCTATGAACTATGATCATAGTGAGAGAACATTCGGACAGCATCTCCCTCTCTGCTCCCCTGTTCTCTGCCAAGTGATTGTGGAGACCCAACCTATATACAGTTTCAGAAAAAGGAAAGAGGTAAGGAAAAACAATCATTTCAATGTTAACTAAGCCAGGTATCCATCCCTGGGAGGGATGGACTTCTTAAGTAGCTTGCTAACCGCCACGATTCTAAGGAATCAAATAGTAAATAACATGGCAATATGGAGAGATGGCTCTTGGAGGAGCCTATAGGAGTGGCACACCCAGTATTATCTTAGTTCAGAAGTGGGGAGTTGGAAACAATCATTGACTGATAGCTTTTAGTTGAAAGGAATGTGCTTTTAGGAAAGATAACTTCTTAGCCAGATCTCTCAACCTTAAATATTAATAATTTTACCACCACCTTCTTTAACAGTATTCCTGTGTCATGGAATAACTGGTGGATTGGATGTCACACGTAATCAAATAAGAAAAGGTGCAAATCACAAACAACTTACCTTTGAAATTTCACCTCCATGCCCTTCTAGCTTCGCAATGCACTTTTTTGTTTCTGCATTATAGACTCTTGCTGATCCTGTTGTGGTAGATTAGGAGCCATTTGTGATTGTTATGCTTAAGCATGCATTTCATATAAGAACATTTTAATAGGGTCGGAAGGGCCTCATCCTCAGGTTTGATTTCAAAAGAAATAGAAGACAATCTGAACAGAGTTTCCTCCAAGGATAAAGTATGTCAGAAAGGATCTGTAATCTGGTTGGAAAAGGTTGACTTCTTAATAGTTTCTGCTGGAAAACTTCTAAAATATGAATACAAATGTCCACATAGAACATGGACTACTGAAGTCTGAAATTTCAGAATGCATGTACAATATATTCAGAAAGCTTTCATTATATTTCAGATATTTGTTCTATTTAATAAGCTATTAATTATATTTAATAAGCTATTGATTACATTTCAGGAAACTTTTTACAGCAAATCAGATCCAAATAGTGCCCCCCATCTAGTCTGGTATCCTGTTTCTGAAAGTGCAAATCAAAACACTTACGTATGTAAAAATAATACGGTATTGTCATTATGCGCTATAATATAACACTGTGCAGGTGAATGCAAAAAACTATTTATTGCGTTTCCTAGGGGAAAAAAAAAAAAAAGCATGCAAAACTGCTGCATACCAATAACAAAACAAAATTGCTTCTTTCAGTACCTCTTTATTGTGTATTCTCTTGCTGTGCGTTTGGAAAACCTAGTAGCAAATCCAACATTAAAATTCCAAGTACCTTTTGCATTTAAGCCTAAATTTGAGCCACCCAAATCAAACTTCACTCAAAAGCTACTTACCTAAGCATTTATAAATGCATTTCCAGCCATAAGTGAACTATTTCCCTACAAGTTTGAAGTTAAAGGGGAAAGACATATTGAGTTGATTAAAGCGTGAAAAATAAGAAAATTTTCACTGGGGAAAACTTCTTAAGTTTAATGCCAAACTTTCTATAATGCAAAAAACACTGCTTGGTCTATAGTTTCGAGTCATGATACTCCACTTTCACCAAGCTACATTCAAAGCAAAACCAAAGGGAAAAGTTGTTTTATGCTACTATTGCAATTCTTATAGCAGTCCCAGTCACTGCACTTACCATCAGCGGAGGCAGTTGCAATACGCTGGCCAGCATAATCAAAGCAGACATCCAATATTTCATCACTGTGACCTGTTAAAGTTGCTATATGCGTCCCAGTTATAGCATTCCACAGCTGCATAGATAAAGAAGGGTAATTATTTTGCTTATTTTGACTAATTTACTTGATAGATATCTAGTTGACCCATAAAGCAACATGTATAGACCCTTTCTGATGTCTGACTGAAGGTATTAACATGAAACCTGGATATAAATCAATAAAGAGTCACTGTTTTGTCAGTTCAATGAAGCCCTACATATTTTTTATTTCAGTGTATTGATTAAACGAGCCTTAAAATATATATATTGTTATTTAACTGGACTTCACTGAAATGAATAAACTTACAGGTTTTACATTTAGTTGTAAATTCTTTAAAAAATTACATGTACCAGCTTAAAATAATGCTCCTCCATTTACAAAAGATGTATTTTCATATATCAAGTAGCTGTATTCAGTACATACTCAACGTTCTTACCATGCATGTTTTGTCCATTGATCCAGTGACGATAAGAGAACAGTCCCAGTTGAACTGTGCACTGCTAATCTCTCCTCGGTGACCTATTAAAGTATGTAACATCCTACAAAAAAAGAGAATTTACAGTTTTAGTGTGTGTTTTGATATACGCATATAAATTATAAGTAAGTTTATAAAATGGTATAGTTAAGGTGTCAAGTCTTCACCATTTTATCCATTAAAGCAATTAAATGGAGTGGTACAGCTCATTTAGGATTCTAGTACTACATCAATTCCATTTTTTATCGTTGACACAAAGAGGCAGTAAGGAATAAAATGATTTACAGTTTTAGTGTGTGTTTTGATATACGCATATAAATTATAAGTAAGTTTATAAAATGGTATAGTTAAGGTGTCAAGTCTTCACCATTTTATCCATTAAAGCAATTAAATGGAGTGGTACAGCTCATTTAGGATTCTAGTACTACATCAATTCCATTTTTTATCGTTGACACAAAGAGGCAGTAAAGAATAAAATGGAAAAGTCCTCCCTTCTCTTTCAAAAATATTTTAGTGAATGTATTTCTAGTGAAATGTGATGACTTTCTAGTGCCAGAGACAGATTTCTTGTATTCATCTACATACAAAGCACATACAGCAAGTATTTCCACATTACTCTCCCATTATTCTACTCCAATGAACTGTGAACAGTACATCTTTAAAACTCCGTATAAACTAAACCTTTTATAAAATCCACTGAAGATCAAATGGAACTTAATCAGGTACTTAATGTTAGCATGTTCCCAAGTAACAGGCAAATGACGGCCAAAGCGAAATATGATTTCTAATCCTCATTAATCCTAAACTTCTTGCTGCACAAAGGCTGACAATATTAGTTCCATTAAATTCTTCAGCCTCAGCTGAATAGAGGGGGTACAATTAGCCATTATTGCTTCCAAGGAATTAATGGCCTATAAAGCAATGAACCCTAAAAAAGATTAATTGAGATATATATATCAAAGGATTAGTAAATTGCATTATTATCACAATGCTAATATCACTGTATCATTAATAGAAAACTGCTTTAACTGATGGATAAACTAATGACTAGAAAAACAACTAAATGAGTTTAAGTAACTGAAATGTTTTTATTCATTGCATAAGATACATAAAGGTAGCTAAATTAATATATGTGCTAAATGAACAGCAAAGCAAATCTCCTAAGCAATTGAATTTTCTATTTGTTTATGATAACAAAAACTTGATTATACTCATGTCATTTTATAGAATTACTCCTTTTACTTTCTAACAATGTGAGGCCTGCACTGTTGTAATTGTGTAGACCTTTTTACAGTAAAAACAGAAATCAACAAGCAGAAAACAACAGTGGAAAACTTCCTGATTTTGTGAACATGTTATTTGGCCATGAAGACTGCTGTTATTGTAATACCTAGTACCTAAAATACCTAATAATGAAAAAAGTTTTAATGTAAAATTTAAAAGCTTTAATTTCCAAATTTTGAAAAGGCAGTCCAGGCTTCAAGCTTCAACGTAAATGTCCAATCAATAAGCAGAATAAATAGCAACATGTGGAACATCTCACAGAAACCGCAATCTATCAGATACACAATTAGAAAGAACCCAGAAAACAGGCTTGTGAAATGCCATAAAAATTTTCCATTTAAATTATATTAGAAAAAAAATCCAAAAAAATCATCTTCAGTCATGATAATACTTCTTTAGCCTTCAGTTTCCAGTGAAATTTAATATATGGATGCTCTAATATTTGCACCGTAATTGCAAATAAGAAGAAACTGTCTCTCCCTCAGCATCCTGGTGTCCAGCACTCCTGACTTCAGGTACGGGCTGTTGATTTGTCAAACGAAGCTCTGAAGACACCTTCAGCTGAACTATAGCTGACTGTATCTGCCATTGGGAAATCACTGGTGAACTACAGACCTGTACTACAAAAGCATGCGTCCCTTTTGTTTGTTTGTTCGTTTGTTTTAAATGTTAACATTTTATGAAGAAAATCTTGAACCTTCTTGAGATGTCTTGTCCCTACATCAACTTCCCTCAGGACAATTCTGGATACCTACCCAGAATAAAACCGAGGAACACAGGCACTCACCAGAGGCAGCCAGCAAAATTAAAAGAAACTTCAAGTTCAAACTCAAATTTGGAAAGCAGTGTTTCTCGTGTATTTCATATGGTGAAAGACGGGCACACACAACCTCACCTACAAGATTTTTGCAAATCTACCTGAACCTGTATACAGAAGAGTATGATTTGCTCGCAGTCTTTCTGACTGCAACTTTTCATTATTAGTAAATGTATACATCCCCAACTGCCATCTAAAAGGCTGAATGTTGGCCCTGGCACAATTATATTGCCCACTAGCTAATTACCAGAGCTGCCAGTGTTTAAATGAGAATTTTCTCCTTCATATTCCACTTCCTGGTATTGACCCTGATGTGAAGTCCACATTCATTTCTTAGAAAAGAAGAATGCAACATGAAAATCCCAAGACAGTGACTTCACTGCAGGCTCAGACAAGAAACTGGAAGAAGCAGCTGTTTTCAAAAAAAAATATTTGCAAGAACACCAGGCTGAATGAAGTTGAATCCAAAGGTCGATTTGCTAAATGAGCGCCTCCTAAGTATTTATATGCCAAACATTAAACTGCTGGTGTTGAATAAGCTCAAAGCTTACAGGATCTAGCCTTAAATGATGTACTATGCATACATTAATTTTTAAATCATGTGATTACTCTCTTTTTGAAGGTATACACATTGTTTATTACCCCAAGACATCAGTATACACACACTTTCTTTTTTTTTATATATAAATTTCAGAGTGACTGCCCTTGCTCTCACAAAAAGAAAAAAGACATGACCTCTGAAAACATAATAGAATCGTTATCTTCATAAATTACTTTGTCAGTAATCAGGGCAATCATTTTATTATTCTACTTATACTGAGTTTCCAGTTGAAAAAACAAGTGGATTTGTCAGGATAATACAACAAGTTCATATCTAACTACTACATTATTTTTTCTTGGCATCATAATCAAGACATTTTGGTCTCTGCAGTCAGAGGGGCCAAATTTTCTCCTCTTTATAAACTTATACTGACATAAAGGACTGTAAGAAGGAAAACAGACCCTCTATGGTTTATAAAGACAATGTGACCAGACTAATTTTCTGTGACATAACATATACTTTCTTTTTTCTTAAACAGTCTGTTCCATCTAGAAATTCTAGACACCTTCCAAACCATGAGTTTCCATGCTGATAAACATTTTCCTGTTTGGAGAATTCATCGACAACAAACACAGGATCCGTCCATTCTGTCTGTCTCCTCAATGCTAATAAGATGGAAATTTAGAACAAAAAACATATACAAAAGCATTTCGTGAGCAGCATTCCTTTTCAGAAGAACAAAGGGAACAGGAGTAACAGATGATAAGATGAAGGAACGCATACTCTAAATGAAGCAAAAATACAAGGACTGTAATTTGTAGCTCAACATTGCCTCTTTCATTTGTCATTAAAACACGCAATGTAAAATGATATTTGTTAGTGCTTTAGTACCTGCCAGTGCCAACATCCCACACTGCTACTGTATGGTCAAAGGAGCCAGTGATAATCCTATCTCCAGTGGTGTTGAAAGACAACGCAATAATTTCTGCTGAGTGCCCCTGAGAGAAGTTTAAAAAAGGAGTATGAGAAAGCAAATTATGACTTTTCCATTAACGTAGTTCAATATGAAGCTTTTTTTCAGCAGCGTAATCCTTCTATAACCCTTCAATGTATTATTTACTCTCTTGTCCGGTATATCACAATTTTGACAGAAAGATCTACTGGACGGTGCAATAGTCAATATCCCAACAACGGCAAAAAGTCAGGCACATCACTTAAGCAGTGAGCAATTGTCCAGTGATGTCATCAGTGCATATTTTCCATATTTGATTTAAACAGAATCACATTTGTTCACCAATACATACTGAAATCAGATGATTCATTTACAGTAAACTACAGTACAGCTTGTCATTGGTGTTGGTGGAGGGGCTTGGAAAAATGAATGTGAGCATACTTATAAGCTAAAGGTTCACACATTCCACTGCTCTTTGCTCTGCTCAGGGCTCTGAGGAAGAGAAAGTCAAGGAGGAGAAAATGCCTTCCCCACTCTATAGGCCACATACACCAAAGGAAGCTTATGCACTACCTGTTATTTAGGATTTATGTGAGAGAAATGCATTGAAACAGCACAGGCCAAGCTGAACCTGTGGAATCCCAGCAAGGTACAGAGAGCAAAGAGACATCACAATGTAGAGGTAATTGGATGGCTTTCCTCTGCTGATGTTTACAGGAAGAAGATCCATACAGATGTAATGTCTGACATTAATGTTCTCAGAGTTACTTTACGTTAATGCAGAGGAGGCCACGATTTACGGTAGAGCGATATGTTTTAATGAGCAATGGAAAGCATTCTGATCTATGGCAGTAATGTCACTGAAAGGAGAAAATCTGTCTTTTGATAAATAGGACTTCCTATAAAACACCATAGCTTTATCATTCCCTTCAAGTTTTCTTAATCTGTTTTGTAGCTGCAGTCACTGTGGGACCCACCTGGTAACAGAAACTGCAAGTTTTGAAACTGTTCTAACGGTTATACTGTTATTTATCTCCGTTAGAAAACTAAGAAAGCAAGGAACACCTTTAAAAACATAAGGAAGGCAAACATACACTTAAAGTGACTATTTCTTCTCCTTTCTCTATATCCCATAATTTGGCAGTGGTATCCATGCTTCCAGTTGCCACCAACGTGCTCTGAAGGTTAAATGATAAACATACCTGTAGCAAGAAATGTTGGATGGAAAAAGTGGGAAAGGAGAGTATTTATATAAATTTTCTCAAAAACAATGGGTCAGGGTTAATATTTTTAAGCAAGACAAAAGTCTGAGTTAGTATTTTATGGCATACAGAAAAATTGCAGAGTTCTTCCAACAGTTCACTGGAAGAGCAACAAATCCTTATCACATAGCTCTGGATGACTACTCGAATCAAATGGACTAATTGGCTGCTTTGCAATGGCAATGCATTAAAAAGACTTACTGGCAGATTTCCTGTATTGTTTTCTGAGCCTGGATTAAAATTCACTATTTAGGTGCTTCATTTGGTGTCACAGGGAGAAACTATTTAGTTCACAAAGTTTTAATCAAAACCAAGACTGAAGCAGTTTGTTAATTTATTAACAGCACAGAGAACTATATATTCAGTGTCAGTATCTGTAATACAATAGATAAACTTATGCAATCTTAATAAAGAGCTACAAATTCCTAAACCTCCGCCTATAATTCCAAGGTGTTTTAATCACGCACCCACTTTCACACTCTTGCATGCACACTCATGACTTCTCACAAGATGAGTGGGCTACAAGTGCACCCCTTTTCCTAGGAGTATGTGTTCCTCTACTTGCCCACACCTCCCCTAGAAGACATGAGTGCTCTAGCTTTAGTTGAACCCATGCCACTTCCTACAATCTGCGGATCCACACACCAGAGAGAAGGCTTCCAAATTCACACGTGCACATCTTACGAGGGGGGAACAAGGGGGCCTTTTTCTTGAAGCCCATACTGACAATCCACTAGCCGGATGCAGACTCCTCATGGTGTCTCTAAGAGGAAGGCAATGCTCTCCAGTCTAGGCAGAGATCGTGATGCCCAGGGTGACTTTTGGAAGCACCAGAGCAGGTTTTGACAACTGCTGCTTCCAGATTAACGTCTCCCCCACCCTGTTATAAATTGTCTTGATTCTTTTATACTTCTTTTCGGGCTTTTCTACTTCTTTATTTCAAAATTCTCTTTGAGATTCTCCAGTTACTGTTCAATCCGACTGGCAGTACTCCTTAACACTATCATTTGGTAGGCTTCCTCTTTAACTTGATCAGTTTGGGGCAAAGACCCTCCAGACAGTTTTGTGTACCCACAAACACACCCTGTACACTCACACTCTTATCTTAACAGGTGTCATTATCTAGGCCATTTGCCAAGGGCATTCCCACAACATAATATTTATTTGTGAAAAAGCAAGAACAAAAGCTCAACAACTTCCTTAATTCATTTTTCACGTTAAAAAAAATCATGTAGTCATCTTCCCATTCTCTGTAATTATTCAATAGGATTGTTCTGCTAATAAAGAATAGGAGGTACCATGTAAAAAGGAAAACAGTAGCTCATGTCACTGGTGCATTTTCACTATGTCCTTTTTTTTTCTTTCTTTTTTTTTTTTTTTAATACGGAATAACTATGGACATGCCCTTGCCAGCAATGTATCATATGCAATAATGGCCTTTCAGAAACAGGTCTCATTCAGAGAAACACATCATTTTCTGCTGGCTATTATCTTCTACTAATTACTTGCTAGCACAACTCATAACACTTTGGGTCTGGGTCTGATCTAACCGCTGCAGAAGTCAGAAGAAATTGAGAGGCCTTTAAATATTTAGCTAACTGATTTGTGGAAGCAAAATCACTGCAGCCTACCTCAATAAGCAAACATGTTCTCCACGGTAAGGGAATAACTGTTTCAAAGTATCCAGAGAAATCAACCAGTATCCACTGAAACCAACCTCACCTTCCACCAAGGTAAACCACCATTTTCTCACACTAGTTATAGGCCTCACAATCCACGGATTAAATTCCAATTGTTTCTGGAAACAATTTCCAGAAATGCTTTATTGAATAATGATTTTATAGCTCTTTTTGTTAAAAAATATATTCTGCATTGAAATTAAGAGTTTCAGTGGATTTGCCCTGATCTTTTAAATCAGAATACTGTGCATCAAGATATTTGCTATTGCTAATAGGGCTCCTAGTGCATTGGAAAGGAAACCAACCATTTTTAAGCTTGAACTGTTTTCATCTCATATATCTTTGACATTTCAGCATCCCACGCATTCCCAGTTAACACACTTAAAATTTCAGAAATTCATTCTTCTATGGCTCCAGTTGGTCCTGCACATGAAGTACAGATCTCAGCGTGAAAGACAACAATACAAGCAACAATGTTCTTGTGTATTTAGTGCTGCAAATATGAGAGGCAATGCAAGATATCTAGGAAAAAATGGGATATATAAATAAATCAAGGAATAAATATGTGCAATAAATTGAAACTTCTGATTGTTATGGTATTTTTCAAAAATGTTTTAACCTTTAGCAAACAAGAAATTGGAACAAACTAAAAATATCTTTTCAAACTGTATACAGTGTTTTATTCTATTTCTTAAGAACTGTCAGGCTATCTTTTCTTGCAGTGCAGAAATGTTCACAATGTCTGAATGTGTGAATAGATGCAGCAGAATAGCTGCCCCTTCCAATGTCAGCTCACAGGGACTTGGAACCCACAGCCATCAATGATGGTGTGTGGAAGCATAAAGGAACAAGAAACGTCCATCAGTACTCACTATTTCTGCACTATGTCCTCTGAAAGTATGATAACATTTTCCTGTTTCCGTACTCCACAGTTTGCAGGTCTTATCAAAAGATCCAGTGGCAATCTTGTCACTAAATGGAAAAAATCCTGTCATTTTTATTTAGAAAAAAACTTCTGACTTCAAAGACAATAGAACTCACAGAAATAATACCCAGTCGTTGAAGCTTGCATGCATTTTGGTGCATTTTGCTGCACTACAACATCCTGGAGCAGGATTTCACAAACAGAATTTATGTTATGGGAAAAAATTAGCAGACATAATCAGTTTCTAAAACAGCCACTGTGCCTATCTATTAGCACAGAAGTGTTCATAACTGATGACTAACCTACATTAGGGATAAGGTTATCTGCTGTACTTCCAGATGTATTTAAAAGTTATGTCATTTCAGCAGATAGCATGTTTGTTTATCAACAGTTATAAACTCTTTTTATAAGTAGTTTACTGATATTTCAGAGGCCAAACTCGACTCCCACTGAAGTCAGTGGAAGCGTTGTGACCAACTGTAACAAGACTGAAGTGAGGTGCCCAGAAAATGTAGCAAGGGACACTGTATTGAAACCTAAAGATTAGCAGAAAAAAAATAAAAAGTTCTTTTTTTACTGAACTTTTAAATTAAAAGTAGCTTAAGGTTCTCCTCAGATTTTCGCTCGCTGTATGTTGCTTTTCACTTTTATGTTACAGTCTAGTTATTGATCTTTGCACAGATTTTTGTGAAAAATTAGTTTCTTCAAAGTATATAAAAGAGTTTCATTAATTGCTTTTTTAAAGTAAAGAATAATATTAGAATATAAGACATTGATATAGTGGGTTTTAGGTTGGATAAAGTCTTCTCATTTAGAAGGAAATGATGATGCTCCAAACAGCATAAGAACAAGTCTTTAACATTTATTTCCTGATGTTAACTGTGTATTGCTTAACTGATAAATAGGACACCTGACAGTGAAAGAAGTAATGTGATTCAATGCAAAAATAGGAATTAATTTCTCCTTTTTTGCAGAAAGGCAAAATGGTTTACTTACACACAACAGCTTCCTCAGGAAGCAAATGACAATGAAACTTCAGTAGCTAACATGTAATTCCCCTTGCCTAACAGGTGCAATTCTAACCTCGGGCAAACAGTTATTGCAGAAAACAGAACATGCACCGATTCATATTTGACATTCATACAGCGGCACCCTGTGGATTTTATAAAAATTACTCAACAGCTCTGACGCTTCTAAATCATGTCCTAAATAATGATGAATGTGTAATACCAAATGGAGAAATCCACTTTTGTTATGACAGTGTTCTTTCTCCTTAACTGAAGCAACACAAGCTGTCATAGGTACTTATCTCACATCATATACAATTACCTGGAGGCAGTAAAGAATGATTAACATTCAGAACACAATCTGATCATAGAGATATTATTGAAATAAATCTGTGTCTCAATATATTAAACTGACTCATATATGTATTTTTCAAGACACTGAATACCTAATGGAATTTATGCTTCAAATTTCTAAATTTCATTTTAAAAAATTATAGCAGAAAACATACTTGAATGTATCTCTTATACAAATATTATACACTGTCATCCCATGGTGATTAGCTGTAGTTGAACTTTACAAATTCAGAATTTGAACTCTTTCAATTTGAGATAGCCTATTTTATGTTAAAATTTAAGTAACAGTTCTGTATTTGTAAAATAACGTGATAAGCAATTATGGTGTATCTCAGAGAAAATATAGTTACCCATAGGGATTATTGAAAGCTATTGCATAGACAACATTTCCGTGTCCCTCCAGCGTACGTAGCTCTTCTCCTGATGCAGTATCCCATACTTTGCAGGTTCTGTCATAGCTTCCAGTGATAAAGCTAAAGCAAAGAGAAATTAATTTCTGAATACGGTAAATATCTTGCTCGTCCTGGTGCATAGTCAAAGGAGTTATTTCCACAGATTTAGTTAGCACTGTCTCAGACCCTAAATCTCTTCTGTCTTTCAAAAATGTAGATTAATGACTATAGAGGTTCCTTTTCTTTTTTTTTTTTGAATATTACTCATTAAAAAAACCTTGTTTCTAATCTTTAATGTATTTCAACTAAAAAGCAAGCTGCTGCTTTCAAGACATGAAGGAAAAAATGATTAGGCATATGCCCACAGTGAAATCAATTAACATGAAATTCCACTACAGTGAAAGTCCCAAATTAATTTACGTCAAAGACTCATTTAGCTTTTAGTAATATTCACTTTATTGCCATAAAGGTGCTTCTTTCTGAAATATGGTAATTGTCAACAAACTATCACCTTGGAAGCAAAAAATTACATAAATTGAATCTCACCCGCTACTTTTTTGCATCTCCCATCGGTTCTCCCACAGAGGCCTGAAATCTAATCCCCAATCAAGCTTAAAGCTGGTTATAAGCAGCACAGCTGAATTCTTTTTGCAGCAAGATAAGAGCACTGAAATTCCCTCAGAATTTCATTTACAAATACAAAACTTCAATTAGTGATTATGTATTTTGCCTTTGAAACCAACTTACTTTATTAGTGATTATGTATTTTGCCTTTGAAACCTTACCGGGAACCAGATTTGTTAAATGCTACATTAGTCAGTGGCAATATATGTGCTCTAAGTACCTGAAATAGAAGCGGGGGAGGGAGAAGAAAACAACATTTAATGCAATTAAAAAAAAAAAAAATTGCTCAAAATATTCGATAGGTTAATATTTTCTCCTTCTCCTGTCAGATTAGCAGTTACAGCTGTATACATTAATCCCTAACTAAAAAATCCCCCATGTCTCAGCAGGTTATCACTGCAGATATTACATAGTATTGATTTCAAATTTATATTTTACTTGAATGAACTGTCTTTTCCCCCATGTTTGCTTTTTCTCCACCTTCTCTGAGACCAGCAAAGTAACCCTAGACCAGAGCTGAAAGTGCAAAAACAAATGAGTGAGGAGACCATGCCTGGTGAGGTCACTGATAAAAGAAATCCCAACTAATATGAAGCCTTATATAGTGAATCAAGAGATCCAGCTGAACTGAGTATTTTGAGTCTTTTAGGTTATGGGATGCTTTCAGCTAGTACATGATTTTGTTTTTAAAACCAGGAAGAACAGAAATAAGCTACATCTACATCCTATGAGGTCATGACAAAAAAGGCATGCAGAACCATAACAAAGATACTTATCGAGACAAAATTCAAAGAGGGAATTTCAAATTTGATGTCTGCCTGTATTGTCTAGGTTATGGAGGTCACTGTTTTTCTAACATTGCTTCTAAGGCCCTTCAATCAGACGGTATATATGTTTCATGTAAATTATCTCATACCCGTAATAATACATATTAAGGTTTATCAAACACAGGTGAAATTGGTTTCAGATACTGCCAATGAAAGTCAGCGTGCCATGATACTTTGAAAATGACCAAAAAATATAGAATCTGGTTTGTGTTTGAATAAGGTGGCTACTGTATAACAGAGTTTGCATTCGAACAACTTTCATCTATTACAAGCTGGCTTCTGCTTGAGTCTAAAACATAATAAAACCATAACCTGGGAAATCACACCAATTGCTGACAGTGAAGTAAAGGGATGTGAAAAATACAGCAGTGGTCCACTAGGTCTTCTCTTTAGTGTAAGAATGAAGAAAAAATTATTTATGAACAATGCCATTTAATCACTGACATATTACCAGAGCTTCCACTTTTTGTTCTTATCTCTAGCTTTCTCAGCTGCCTCTCTCCAAAAGGAAAATGAAAGGAGCTAAGAGATCTTCTACTCAGAAGAGTAGGGACTGATCAAAATGGAAGAGAAATAACAATGGTCATGTGAAGGACTGAGAGAGAGAGAGGGTATTTTATGTTAGAGAAACAGCAGTTTCTGTTCTCTAGAGAAAGTAAGACAAGTTGTACTTCCAGCTACAGCAGTGGGAATGGGCAATCGAGATGTGGAAATGATAAAAATATTTTGCTTGTTTTAAAACAGCCACAGTACACAAAAATCTGCATATGATAATGGTAATTATGGAAATTTATGGAAATTTGATCCATGACATTTTTAGGGCTCCATGCAGGCAGCTCTGTACAACAAACATATGTAATAATTATAAAATAAAAGGAGGAAAATGAGATGGGTTTATGTTCAATTTCAGATCTGAAATGGACTAATTCTGTTCTTCCAATGCCCAGTGCTGCAGTTGCTTTATCCCCAGAACTCTAAGCCAGCAAGAATTGCTTGTGCAAATGATACAATAATCAAACCCTAAGGCAACATTAAAAAAATGTACCTCAGTTCTGCAAAATCTGCTACAGCAGTCCCTATGATAAAAATCTGCAAATCACTACAGCATACCATTGCTATGTAATAGTTTAAAACCTGAGAAATTGGTACAAAAACTTGTTTCTCTGCAGGATGCCTAACACAACACCAGCACCACAATTACTGGAAATAACAAAAAGATGAGTTTATACACTCATTTAAGATTATGCTCCAGTGCAACAGGAAAAAAAAAATCATTTCCAAACAATGCAAACACATGGAACATTGTTTGGAAGAAAAAATTCTCACTCCCACCCACCTCCTTTATTTTGTTAGTATCTCAGAAGCACCTGGTACTCATGTTTCATTTACAAGCATTAAATGGAACTGCAATGTTATAAAACAAGTTCTTTTCACACACTTCTAACTACTCTTGAGTGAAGGAAATAAGCTGGCACTGATTGGATTTGCCTGCTTCTAGTGTTTCCAAACACGGAAGCTCAAACATGGCACTATACCCAACAAAGAACAAATACATTATTTACACTGAAATTTGGACAAGCATTTGATGATTTGTCAGTCTCTGTGATGAACAAACAATTTTAAAAGCTCGTGAAAAGCAAGGCATTATCTCAGTTGAGAGCATACCTTAAAACAGAACAGAAACTTTTTAAATTTAAGATGCCTTATTACATAGCTCTGTTTTCAAGGTTAAATACACAGATCTTTGCAGAATTCACCCAGATGTGTACTGTTGGTTGAAAGAACCCAAGTTACATCTAGCAACATGTAAGGGGTTTTTTTAACCAAACCAACCACCACAAAACTTCTCCATTTTCTCCCTAAATTTAAGGCAACAATCAATAACATAGCACTGACCAGCAATTTTTAACAGCTACACATTGCCATCTGCTGACACAATAAAGATACATCACTTAATTATTTCAGATTGCAACATGCAATTTCTGGAAGCAATTTTATTTTTATTTCCACAATTAAACCTATTCTCTTCTGATAGACTGAATCCTAGATTTGTAGTCCTGAAAGGTCTCTCGAATAATTGTTCTTAAAAATCTTACTCATTTAAAATAAATTTAGACGGTGCTGTCTGTAAGCTGAAGATCAAACTATCAATTTTCAAACATAATAATGGCAGAAAGTAATGACAACCAATATTACTGTATGTAGCAGAATACCTAAAATAAACACAATTTTCACAAAATGAAGAACAAGTAGACAAGGGTATGAAAACATTTTGGGCCTTTCCCAGCAGCTAATTTACTTGGGGTCTATTTACAGGTTTTGTTTAAACATAACTATGGGTGTTGCTGTTCCACAGAGTCTTATCTGACAAATAAGAGAATTATTTCTCTCCATCCAAAACACACCCTTGTATATAAGCCTGTGTAAACAGTGTCTAGGAACGGTTATACCTTCCAGCCATTTGGGGGAATTCCTGGCAGACATAACCAGGCCAGACTCAGTCGCTCTAAACAGTGCAAAGGTGATTAAAGGAGCCAAGAAATTGGTCATAAAATCCAAATTTTGCTCTCAGGCACAATATGCAGCAGTAGAAACATACTCACAGCATCACAACTGAAACCCCCCAAAATCCCCCAAATTATTTTAAAGATGCCTCTGACCTTAAAAAGATAGAACTTGTGATCCTCTTTTCCCCCTAGCTTCTCTTGCAATCTTCGTACTAAATGTATGACATGTTCCTTGCACGAAGCTGTGATGAGAGGTTCTCCTTTTTGAATTTCTTCTACTAAGGCTACGGCATCTGTGCTAATTGTGAGAAAAAAAAACAACAAAAAAAACCCAAAAACCCAAACCCACCATATTTCATCCGCTGGCAATAATTATGATTATAAAAGCAAGAATATTATTTGCTTGCAGAGAAACTGAAGTAAGCAATTCAACGATATGCGCTTATCTCATTCTGTAACGGCTTAAAGAAATATGGATAAATCTTTCTTGGTTTCTATACTTCCTTTCCTCTCTTACTAAAGTTGTTCAGTAAAATATAACTTTTAAAAATTTTAGCTTAGCAAGAACTTTACCTTTTCAAAGGGTTTCCACAGAGGGTCAGACATGAGACGTATATCCAAAACTGATAGGTTTGGAATAAATATCTAAATTAAAGTGGAATTTCATAAATTCCCAATGAATTACCCATGAAGTAGCAACAAGACAAATTATATATGGAAAGTGTTAAAATTATCTCTGTCTGTGGCTTCACAAATCTATGCCTGTTCCTATAACTCTCAGTTATGATAATAACTTCCAAAACACGGTCCACAGTCTGATTACTGGCCATCCATGAGAAACTGAGGGTTGACAATACCCGGTAGTCAAAGCACCAGCATACACCTAAAACCGGTTCTAGCAAGAAAACCTAGCATTTCTGTTAGTATGTAAATTATTGCAGTCTAAAGGGGATTTTCTGTAACAGTCCTCTAAATGGGAGCCACTAACAACCCCATAAATTAGTATCCTCTCAGTGTTTATACGCCTGTTAAGTAATACCAGAAAACATATTTCTTTCATAAAGTGACTCGTTAGGTTTTATCCAGAGTACTGAGCTGGATGTTTCCAGGTATACAAAACCAAATAATTTATACATTTGGATTTTTCATCTTGCATATGCAGCTTACATACTAACTTTGGCCCACATGCAAGAACTCTTCCGTATCAATGTCGATATTAAGACAATCATACCACTTCATGCCTTTCTGCCTAATAAACTCCATGAATTTTGGTAGCTTTTTTTAATGAGGGCATTTTTTTCCTCTTTCTGTAGCTCTTCCTACCAGAGCTGGCTGAGTAGAGCATGTAGGCTGACTACTATGACCAAAACCATATTAAGGCTCTCAGCTTTCTTTTAATTTTATCTTTTGTGTGTCTAAAGGAAGACATCAGCTGAAGGAAAGCCAAAGAAATACTTTGGGAGCTCCATAAATCCTGATAATCTTTCCATGGTGTTTGATGCCAGCCAAAAAGTTCTGTGAAAAAATCCACTAGATATGACATGCAAATTCATGAAGTCTTCCATATTTTTTATGTGTACAAATAACTGATGAGAGGAAATGAAGTAGAGGGAGCCAGACTTTTCTCAGTACTGCCCACTGAGAGGACAAGCATCAAGGACTACAAATGAAAAAAAAAAAACCAAAACCAAAGTAAATTCAATCTGATCACAAAAATACACTTTTTTGCTGTGAGGGTGGTCAAACACCAAAATAGGTTTCACAGAGAGGTTGTGGAGTCTCCATCTGGGAGATACTCAGAACCCAACTACACATGGTCCTGGTCAACCTGCTCTAGCTGACCCTGCTTTAGATGGTCTCAAGATGTCCCTTCCAACCTAGATGATTCTCTGATTCTGTGACATACCATTATATTCTGTCACTGAATGCACAAAATAGCTAGTCAAATAACCTGTCAAGCACTGGTGTATAAACTACATGTAGCAGTATTAAAGCTAATTCAGCATAGTAACTTGTCAAGTCAACATTCTCATTACAACAAATTCGTCCTATTCCTCACAAGGAAGACATAAGAGAGTTTCAGACTGGTGCCTTCCAACTGTCTGAAAACCAAAGCCAGATGTGATTGAGGATTGTCCTCCACATAGGAAGTCTCACTTGCTTCCACATGAAGTGACCTCTGCTTTCTATCTTACCTAAATATATCCTATCAAACATAAATCTAAACTAGAGTTTGAAATACATTGTATTTTTTATTCTTCAGTTCGGCCAATCCCTGATTTTTAGATATATCAAGCTCCTGCAATTGCTTTCATCATCTGTAGGAGACTGGAAAATCAGATTACACACTCTTACTTGTTCTTTCAAAGGACCCAAGTACAATTAGGTTTGCAACAGAAGAAACCGGAAAACTTCCATTACTTGCAACAGAAGCAGATACTTAGTTTCTCCACGCAAACATATGGGAGGGAATCACTTACTTGTCTGTCTTACACCATCTTACCTATGGTTGTTATGAGGATTAATTAATTAACAGGAGAGATCTGAACTGATGTCTAGTTGTTATTTTCAGTGATTTCAACAGAGGTCATTTAAACCAGTGTAACTGGGGGCTGACTTAGACCCACTTTTTGAAAACGTTCTGAAGACCAGAAATACTATTACAGGACCTAAGAACTAGCTGTCATTCATTACAACGTTAAGCGCTGTATATTTCTGCTGGCTTTGTACAGGCATCTTGATAATCATAACTCTATAAGCAAAAAGAGGCTTCACCTCTGAACAGAAAAACATGATGGTAATAATCAGCTGGAATGCAAGATTCTCTGTTTAAAATAGTAGGAGAATGATTTGACTGCGTCATTTTCTTTTCTGTGTGTGTTTTAGTGAACAAAGACATAGCTGACCTCAATTATGTTTAAAACAATCAAACAGAGTTGTATCCGACCATGCTATAAAACAGCAGAGTGCTGTTATCTGAAATAATATCATACTTACTCAGGTCTAAGATTAAGTAGATCTATAGATCTGGTCTTTGGCTCACCACCTTGTACATATTCCAGAATAATTCCTTTAAAAAAAAAAGTGATAAAAAGGACATAATTAGATGTCAGGGATTTTATAACACACACTGTAGACTGCAATGCTTCCACTTTTATTGCTCCACTGACTTCAGCAGACCTACTTCCAGTTCTTGAAACTAGAAGGAGGTTGGCTGTTCTTGCTGAGAGTTAATGGTGTGATGAACAACTCTGATGTGTTTATATGATAAAAGATATTAAACATTATTATTTATGAGCCATTTTCTATTCTGGAAATGAACAAGCTTTTTTTCCCCCGACAACTTTTTGCATTATTTCATCCGCTCTATTTTCAAAGAAGCTGTCCTGAAGATACTTGCTGTAGTCTGGTGTTCCAAGAAGCCTGGAAAACATGTTTTACAAAACCTGTTATATTTATTTCGGTGTTTGCAAAGGCTGTGTGCAGTAACGTATAGAAAATCATAACACACTTTCCATTTCTAGGTATGCTCTGGCACCTCTGCGCCTTCTACTGAGCTGAAGTATTAAAATGTTTAACCACATTGCTTCCTGTTTTGAAACAGTTGTTAAAGAGTTCTGCTGCTCCTTGGTTTTCTGTGGGAAAGGATAATTTAGATGAATTTTTATGTCATTTTGCATTTTACCAAGTCTGTAAGAAAAATATTTAATTTGAAAGAAAGATCTCACTTCCTGAGATCTGGCCATCCTGGCCATCTCCATCCTGTTTCACTTGTGAAAATTCATTAAGTCTCCTGACTGAGTTCATAATAAATGATGAAGACCGCTTAGCAGAAATAGCTTTTCAAAACATGGTTCTGCTCAGAAAAGTCACAAAACAAAGGAAGGAAAAATAAGCAATCTGGCAACTTATTACTGAACAGGCCTTTTGATAACACATATATGCTTTTTGGTGCCGACTACTGCCACTTTTGACTTTTTAAACTCCTTACTGCGATGCAAATGAGACCGCCTTGATTTCGCAATGGTAAGTCATTAATTACAGCTCCCATCGGCGATGAGCTGCTTCCAGCTGGAAGTCTCTCAAGCAACCGCAGTGCCAAAATACCCGCACGTGAAGTCAACCCAGCGGCAGGTGCGCGATCCACCCGCTTACTCCTGCCCTGGCCCATGACGGAGGTGAGGAAGACCTCCATTACAGGACACCCCCACACACACACCCCGCGCCTCCCTCACGGAGGCGCCCGCCACACGCCCCGCTGCGAGTCCTCC